TGTCACATGATCTTCAGAAATCATTCTAATATGCTGATTTGCTGCAAAAAACATTTATTATTATTACGTTGAAAACAGCCGAGTATAATTTTTTCAGGTTTCTTTGATGAATAGAAAGTTCAGAAGAACACCACACAGAATATGAGAACACAGCAAAATATCATCTTTCACTATTGGCAAAATCTTAAAGGAGACATATTATGCCCCTTTTTACAATATGTAATATAAGTCTCTGGTGTCCCCAGAATGTGTCTGTGAAGTTTCAGCTCAAAATACTCCACAGATCTTTTATTATAACAAGCGAAATCAGACGCGCTGGTTTTCTCAGACGCTTGCAGAAAAAGGCTTCCCAAAACAAAGTGACTGGGTTAATCTTTTTCACGTTTCCTTGGTTGGTAGATGCACCGGGGACCTGATTATAGCACTTACAACCTGGAAAAGTCAGATTTTCATGATATGTCACCTTGAAGGTATTTAGAGATATGTTTGTCAGTTTCACACACGGTGTGATTGTAATCTGCTTCTCCTCTCTCAGATAATCATTTGGAGGCGATGGAGATGGACGACGAGGTCCAGATTCCCGCCACGGTGTTGAGAGGTCACGAGTCGGAGGTCTTCATCTGCGCCTGGAACCCCGTCACTGACCTCTTGGCCTCAGGGTGAGTCTATCTGACCTCTGACCTCAAGGGGCGGAGCTGAAGGATTTCTGACGCTGTGATGAGTTTGTACGACTCGGACTGGAACGGCTCTGTGAAATGGCTTGAATTGCATCAAATGTTTTTCTAAAATTACATGATAGACATTTTTTGGCATAAAAGAAAAATCTATAATTTTGACCCATACAATGTATTTTTGGCTATTGCTACAAATATACCCCAGCGACTTAAGCGACTTGTGCTCCAGGGTCACATTTACTATTTTTATTGATTTAATATTTATATATATTTTTAATATTGTACTATTTTATTTAAAAGCAGCATTTTAAGTGCATTATATTTAAATGTTGGTTTATAATTCATAATATAAAAATTATCAATAAAAATTAATTCAATCAAGGTAAGACACTACAGGCAGGACACTATTTGGTTTCACAATAGTGGAAAGAAAACGGCCAAAATACACATTTAAGTGTTTATTTTATTGCACTGTATATTTTTGTGTGTTTATGCAAAAATTAGTGCATATTTAATTAGATCTGAAAACGTTTCAGAAAACTTGTGATACAAAAAAGTTTGCGATTCGTAATGTAACCAATCAACCGGGGAACTGTGGTGATGTCTATTAATTATAGTTTTTACACCTTGTGTGTCTTGCCTAAAAAGTGTATTGCATTATTTGTGTTGCTCATGTGGCAGCTCTGGCGACTCGACGGCGCGCATATGGAACCTGATTGAGAACAGCAGCGGCGGCTCGACTCAGCTGGTCCTGCGGCACTGCATCCGAGAGGGAGGTCAGGACGTTCCCAGCAACAAGGATGTGACCTCACTAGACTGGAACGTGAGTCGCTGCTAATCATTCAGAGCCGCGGTGCTCAACTAGGGGCCGCAAGATGCTAATAAAGCAATAAGCCCAAGAAGCCATGGTTTACAGTGAATTTATTACAGCTAAGGGGCGTTGTTAAGCACGACGCGTGGCTCAGCCAATCAGAATCAAGGACCGGAACTCTCCGTTTTATAAAAATGATATAAAACCAGTAGGGCTGTCAAAAAAATTCGAATTTCGAATATTCGTCGAATTTAAAATAAAAATCCACATTCGAATGCAAAAACGTTGCATTTGAATTTTAGGTGTGCATCAGGCGGCCTTATCAGTGGCGCACGAGATGTGTTGATGTAAGTGTCGTTGCATTTTAATGTTTTTCATAGCTTATCCAGTTGAAGCCACTAGATGCGGCGCTGCTACGTTGTTCATTAAAAATATTGCGGAAAAAGAGAACATCAATGCGGAGAAGATGTTGTTTTGCATCAAAACTGAAACCAAGTCGTTCTCACAGATTGCATATCGCATTTTCTAAAGGGACATCTATCACCTTTACACTCGCGTATCGCACATGTTTAGAAAGCCATGTAAAATTAATGTAAGTTCAACTTTTAAAAAAACACGTCTCGAGACTTTATGGCGGTTTTTCCCCATTTCGCCATTTTTAAATGAAAAAGTACTCTTTGTGATTGGTTTTCGGTCTTTTGTATTAAACTATACATAAATGCATGATGCTGTTTTGTTTCTAATTGTTTAAGCAACTTAATTATATGTGATTTAGAAACTTTGTTTTAAACTAGTGCTGTCAAACGATTAATCGCATCCAAAATAAAAGTTTTTGTTTACATAAGATATGTATGTGTACTGTTTATTTATTATGTATAAATAAATTTTTTCAAAGATAGCCGTGTTATTTTATTGCTTTGAAGAAACGTGCGCTAGTAATATTTTGATAATATTCAAGTACAAAATTCGAATTTAGTTTTTCAGCCATTTTGACAGCCCTAAAAAAACAGACAAAACAAGCTTTTAAAAAAGCTAAAATAACTAAAAAAAATCGAGATAAATTTTTTTTGTTTGTTTAAAAATGTGTTTTTTTTTAAATTATTGATAGAAATCAATAGAACTGGCATAATTTTTCTTATTTTAATTCGTCCCTCAACAACTCTCACTTCTATTTAAGAATCAGGATTCTCACAATCTTGGAAAACCTGGAAATACGAGGGAATTTTAAAAGTGAGATTTCCAGACTTGGAAAATAAATTAATAAAATCTTGAGAACTCGTGGAAATTTCAATAATGAATATAGGCTACATCTTTCTAGTTTTGTCAAGCGTTAAAATATTTTGAATAGAAATTCATTAGAAATTGCCATTACTGAGATATTTAAAAAATGTATTAATTAATTCATCCCTGAAGATCATTCTGTTCTCTAACTTAATTTTGATAGCACTATTAAAGGTTTCAGTTCTTCAATCTTCTGAAATTACATAATTTAAATATGGATTTTTAAATTATTATTATTATTCTTTTTTTATTATTTTAATTTTAATATGATTACATTATTGCAAATAATTTAATATATATTTAGTAATTTAAATATAAATAATAAAAAAATTAATGTAATTATTTTATATGCAAAATTAATAAACTAATATCAGCTAATAGCAGGGAAATGAAGAATTAATAAATAACTATATATCTTATTCCTATGCCTCATCTCTCTCATTTTATAAGGCAGGTTAAGTGGTTAATAGCACTTATTTAGTCATTAAAAGTCCATTTTACTCATTTGGCACTGGGCGAATTCATTTTGGACCCTGGATATAATTCTAATGAAAGGCATGGTGAATGTTTGGCTTCTTTTCACATCACAGTTCATTATGTTCCTAGGACCCATATTTGCACTCAAGTGGAACAAGAAAGGCAACAGCATTCTGAGCGCTGGAGTCGATAAGGTCAGTATCTACAGTTGAGGTCAAAAGTTTACACCCCCCTTTCAGAATCTGCAACATGTTAATTATTTTACCAAAATAAGAGGGATCATACAAAATGCATGTTATTGTTTATTTAGTACTGACCTGAATAAGATATTTCACATAAAAGATAAAAGAAAATGCTCAAAAATAGGGGCGCAGGTTAAGTGGTTAATAGCACTTATTTAGTCATTAAAAGTCCATTTTACTCATTTGGCACTGGGCGAATTCATTTTGGACCCTGGATATAATTCTAATGAAAGGCATGGTGAATGTTTGGCTTCTTTTCACATCACAGTTCATTATGTTCCTCAAAATGTTTTTTGTTTTTTTCTGCAGAGTGACGGCACTCTATTAGCAACCGGATCTTATGATGGATTTGCAAGAATATGGACAAAAGATGGTAAGTCGAGTGATTTCTTAACACTGAGCGCTAATCAGACTCAGCGAGTGCGTGCCTTATTTAAACCAGCTCGTTTTAACCTGTTAACCAGGTAATCTCAGCAGCACACTCGGCCAGCATAAAGGACCCATATTTGCACTCAAGTGGAACAAGAAAGGCAACAGCATTCTGAGCGCTGGAGTCGATAAGGTCAGTATCTACAGTTGAGGTCACAGTAACAATTTAATTACACTCTAACTTTGTAGCAAACAAAGTGCCACACATCTGTGGCTTAGCGTTAAAATTAAAACACGGAAGAAAATTGTGATTCCGTCAAAAAAAAACTAATAGTATTACTTTGAGAAGTACATTCTGCTGTACAACAGTAATATAATTCTGTTATAATTTCTTTATTTTGGCGGGTTGTAGTGAAGATCTTTGACGCTAGTTGAATCAGATGAGAAGTTGATGTGGTGTTTATTAACTCCCGCAGCTCCGGCGCTGGACGTGGACTGGCAGAACAACAGCACCTTCGCCTCCTGCATGATTGATATGTGCATCCATGTGTGCCGCCTGGGAAGTGAGCGTCCACTCAAGACCTTTCAAGGGCACACGGTGAGCAGTGCACACTAACTCACGGGCTTCAGGCTTTACTGTTCCCCAGCAGCAGATAAACATGTTTGTTTGCTTGCAGAATGAAGTGAACGCCATTAAATGGGATCCGTCTGGAATACTGCTGGCTTCCTGCTCAGACGACATGACGCTAAAGGTAGGAATCACGTCCCAATATTCTTTAAATATTTATTTTTACCTATGTTTTTAATGGTAATGACTCCTCCGATTGGTAAAATACATGATGAAATGTGCATTAAATATGATCAAATTGTGTTCGTCTCACGGCAGATCTGGAGTATGAAGCAGGATTCATGCGTTCACAATCTTGAAGCGCACAATAAAGAGATTTACACCATCAAATGGAGCCCAACCGGCAGCGGGAGCAGCAATCCCAACGCTAACATGCTGCTAGCCAGGTAACGTCCCTGCTAACCTGCTAACCTGGACCAAGACTGCTAACGTTATCTAATAAATTTGATGATAATAAATTAATTAAAAAAAATTATAAATGGATAAAATAAATAAATAAATGACATTAGCTTAGATATACATTTAAAAATGATTACAATTAATTACATTAAAATAAATAAATTAATAAAAAATTTAAAAAATAAATAACAAATAGAAATTAAATTAAAAAAAAATAGATTAGATGTAAATAAATGTAAAGCAAGATTAAAATGAAGTAAATAAATGAATAAAACTGAAAAAATAAATAACAAATAAAACATTAAATATATTTTAAATTAGATAAAAAATAAAATGATTAAATCAATGAATAAAAAAGGATTAAATTAATCAAATTCAGGTTAAAAGAGATTAGATTAAATTAGATTAAAATAAATTTGATTCAAATAAATAAATAACAATTAGATTAAAATAAATTTGATTCAGACAGATAAATTAATAAATAACAATTAGATTAAAATAAGTAAAAACAAAATTAGATGAAATATATTAAAAAGGGTTCAAATAAATTAGAATAAAATGAATAAATATGTAATGTATAATGCAGTGAGATTATATAAACAGAATATAATAAATTTCTATTAAAATGCATTTAAAATTATTTAAATAAATAAAAATGTGATTATTATAATTACAAAATAAATGAATAAATAATACATTGACTATACAGTACTGTCGTGAGTAGAAATTTTTTTTTTATTTAATTTAAAAAAAATTATTTTAATTTTTTATAACATTTAATTATTTAACCTAATAGATTAAATTAGTATTTTCCAAATAATAACCTAAGGCATATTTATAATAATTTTTCAGACAAGAAACTTCATTGTTGCCTTTTACGGTTTAGGATGGCAGTCCCTCACATGAGAATATGATCATATTTGGGAATCCGTTGGATTTGAAATATTGAAAAACCCTTGATCTAAACCGATTTAAAACCGCTCGGTGTCAAAGAAAAAAAGAAGAGATAAAAGTCTAGAGTGTTTAATAGTTTATCTCTCTTTACATGTTTATGAAAAGCATCTTTGTGTTCCTCAGCGCCTCTTTCGACTCGACGGTGCGATTATGGGATGTGGAGCGAGGCATTTGCGTTCACACGCTCACTAAACACCAGGAGCCGGTCTACAGCGTGGCCTTCAGTCCGGACGGGAAGTTTCTGGCCAGCGGCTCCTTCGACAAATGCGTTCACATCTGGGACACGCTGGTCAGTACAGCAGCTCCTTCACACACAGCTGAGCGTCAGTGTGATGAAGATGAAGATGATGATGATGATGTGTGTGTGTTTCTTCAGAGCGGCGCGCTGGTGAACAGCTACAGAGGAACCGGAGGAATCTTTGAGGTTTGCTGGAACAGTGTGGGAGATAAAGTAGGAGCGAGTGCATCAGACGGATCGGTGCGTTCATCCACCTGTTACAACTGTTCGAAGAATTTGACTGAAACGTCGTTTTCAGAAATATATCACGGTGGAAGCTCAATTTATATTTGTCTAAAACTAATTTTTTACGATTGTGAAAAACACTAATTTGTCTAAACTTTGGGCTTTAGTTTCAAGGTTATAAAATGTTCAATAAATTAAAATTAAATGTGTAAATGCATAAGATAATATTATGTGAAATTAGATTAAATTTCTGGTTGTTTTGCCTAAAATCAATTATATTATTTATAGACTATTATAGTTTTTATTATTATTTTAAATTAGTTTTATTTTTATATTTCAGTGTTTATTTTAATTTAAGTTACATTTTTAGTAATTGTTATGTGCTATTGCAATTTTTATTAGTTTTTGGTTTCATTTTTAGGTTTATTTTAGGTTATGTTGTTTAATTTTTATTTCACATTTTGTTTTTAGTTTTTATTCAGCTTTATTGTCGATTCATAATTTTAGTGCTTCAACGTAATAAATATTTAGGTTTATTTTAGTTTTTTTACTTTTACTTTTAGTTTTTATTTATTTCCATTTAGTAATTTGTGCTTCAACTTATTTCAGTTTTCAATTTCTAATTTTCATTCAATAATAATTTTTCATCTAATATTTAAGATATTTTAGGTTATTTAGATTTAATTTATTTTTATTTCACATTTAGTTCGAATTCAGTTTTAGTTTTCATTTATTTCCAGATAGTCATTTTAGAGCTTTTAACTTGAACTAAAAATAGGGTTGCAAAGGGGTGGAAAATTTCCGGAAACTTTCCCAAAATCCCTGGAATATTCCAAAAAATCCTGGAAAGTTTCCGACATTTCTGGAATATTTCCGAAATTTACAGGAAATTTTCCACCTTTTTGCAACTCTAATCGTGGCCAGGGATTAAGAATTTCCATGATTTATTATTCGTTCCTTTAATTTAGTGAAATTCTTTTAGTAAAATCGTTTCCATGAATTAGGAATTTGTTCCCTTGTTTTAATAAATAGTTGTACATTAGTTGTACTAATGTACTTGATTTAATTAATTCGACGGAACAAATTAGTATGACCTAGACACGATTTACTAAAAGAGGGGAACGAATTCTTAATTCGTAGCTGCGATTTACGAGTAAACAAATTTGAATGACGTCGCCACGATTTACTAAAACAATTTTTGAGTTGTGGCCTCAAATTTATTAAAATGAGGAAACAAATTTTTTATTTGTGGCCACGATTTACAAAAATGAGGGAACAATTTCTTCATTTGTCATCATAGTTTTATTAAAACGAGATAACAAATTAGTACGACAATTCTTGGCCACGATTTACTAAAACAAGGGAACGAACTCTAAATTCATGGCCTTGATTTAATTAGAACGAGGGAAGGAATTTGTACGAATTAAGAATTCGTTCCTTCGTCGGGTGCGATTTGATGAAACGAGAAGTAATAAAAGCTTCTGCAAATCTGAATTTTGTCTTATTTTGTTTATCACTTGGTTGTTTCTTTTATGTGGCGTTGCGCTGGGAAGCCCCGCCCACCTTGAAATTTCATTGGTCCAAAATCCTAATTTGCATTAAACATTCAATTTCAATGTGGACAGGCTAATTACTGAAACTCGAATATATGGAGACAATGCGGACAAAAATATACATTTATCGTGGCTAGGGTTGCAAAAAGGTGGAACATTTTCTGAAACTTTCCAGGATTTTTTTGAATATTCCAGGGATTTTTGGAAAGTTTCCAGAAATTTACAGGAAATTTTCCACCTTTTTGCAACTCTAATCGTGGCCAGGGATTAAGAATTTCCATGATTTATTATTCGTTCCTTTAATTTAGTGAAATTCTTTTAGTAAAATCGTTTCCATGAATTAGGAATTTGTTCCCTTGTTTTAATAAATAGTTGTACATTAGTTGTACTAATGTACTTGATTTAATTAATTCGACGGAACAAATTAGTATGACCTAGACACGATTTACTAAAAGAGGGGAACGAATTCTTAATTCGTAGCTGCGATTTACGAGTAAACAAATTTGAATGACGTCGCCACGATTTACTAAAACAATTTTTGAGTTGTGGCCTCAAATTTATTAAAATGAGGAAACAAATTTTTTATTTGTGGCCACGATTTACAAAAATGAGGGAACAATTTCTTCATTTGTCATCATAGTTTTATTAAAACGAGATAACAAATTAGTACGACAATTCTTGGCCACGATTTACTAAAACAAGGGAACGAACTCTAAATTCATGGCCTTGATTTAATTAGAACGAGGGAAGGAATTTGTACGAATTAAGAATTCGTTCCTTCGTTTTAGTAAACATGGCCACAAATGTATTAAAACGATTGAACGAATTAGTACGCCGTGGCCAGAGTTTACTATTAAAACGAGGGAACGAATTCTTAATTCACAGCCACAATTTAATTAAAACAAGGGAGCGAATTAGTACAACGTTTTGTGGCCACGATTTACTAAAATGAGGAAACAAATTATTACGATGTGGCCACACTTTACAAAATAGACGGAAGGAATTCTTAATTCATGGCAATTTATTTAAAAGGATGGACGAATTCTACATTTGTGACTGTGATTTTAATTAAAATGAGGAAACGAATTTGTACAACATGGCCACAATTAACTAAATCTACATAGGAATTATAAATTCATGTCCGTGATTTAATTTAAATGAGGGAAACAATTTGTACGAATTAAGAATTAGTTTCCTCGCTTTAGTAAATCGTCGCCACAAATTTGTTAAAATGATGGAACGATTAGTACGATGTGGCTACGATTAACTAAAACGAGGGAACGAATTCTAAATTCATGGCCACGAATTTATTAAAATGAAGGAACGAATTAGTATGATGTTTCATGGCCATGATTTACTAAAACAAGGTAATGAATTCTTAATTTGTTGACGCAATTTATTTAAAACAAGGAAACTAATTCTACATTTGTGGCTGCGACTTAAACCGAGGGAACAAATTAGTATGTTGCCATGATTTACTAAAATGCCGTAAGGAATTCTAAATTCATGGCTAAATTAAAACTAGAGACGGAATTTGTACATTTACATGGCCACAAATTAATTGAAATGAGAGAATTAATTATCGTGCAGAGCTCAGTCGTCATTCTATCTTTACGAAGATTTTTTTTTGTCCTTCCACACTGAATGTGAAACCTGCCAATCAAATATGTGGACCAATGAGGTTTCAGCGTGGGCGGAGCTTCTCAACAAAACTGCAGAAATGGAAACCAAGCAACCATCAAAATCTCTCGTCAGATTTAAATGGATGAGAGGGTGAATTTTCGTTAAACGGAGATGATTTTTGTTAGCGGATGAGCCCTAGTTCATCACTTTATCGCATCTTGTCTGAAATTTCCAGCGGGGACATGGTGAATGTTACGTGTTTTTCTAGCACGTTTATCATATGTCCGTCTACTGAGCTTTGTGTTTGATGACCAGGTTCGATCAGGAACTGATTGGTTAGTCCTGCTGTAAACTTTAAGCTGTGATCGATGCCATCGCTATTTAACCGCGACTGGTGCAGCGTTAATTTCGTACAGTACGTACTGCACCGTCGTGTGCGTTTGACAATGGACGTTTCTTTTTTATCAATAAAACCAATTCTAGTGGGTTTTAATGGGATTTTTTTTAAATGCATGGAAAGCGTTGCATTTCTGCGTGCCGTGGGTTTCCGGAAGCCCTTATCGTCTGTGTCAGACAGAATTGCGTCGCGATCTTGGCACATCGAGAGATGCATGTTCTGGCGTGTGTCTGACCTGCTGCCAAGTATAAAGTTTAAATCTGTTTCGTGGACAAAACTGAATCTCAATGTCTCGCATTCAGAGGCTCAAATAAATCACTCTATTTTGATATTATAATCCGTCGTGTTTGATTCATTCATCTTGCATGTGAAACTCCATGACAGAAATGTTGGAATAATTGTCAAAAGTTTGGAATAATTAAAATGTTTTAATATTTTTGAAAGAGTCACTTGTGTTCACCAAGGCTGCATTTATTTTGTCAAAAATACAGTAAAAATTGTGGAATATTATTAGAATTGTAAAATAGCCGTTTTTTGTGAGAATGTCAAAACAGCATTTATTTGAAATCTATAGAAATCTTTTGTAGCATTATAAATGTCTTGACTGTTACTTTTGATTAGTTTAATTCATTATGGATCAATAAAAGTGTTATTTTTAATACTTTTTTTTATTTTTGTATGAGTTTTCAAAGATGCTGAAAATTCAGCTTTGCATCACACAAATAAATTACACTTAAAAACGTTAACATGGAAAACTCTTATTTCAAATTATAATAACGTTTCACAATTGTTACCGTTTGTGATCAAATAAATGCAGTCTTTGTAAGCAGAAAAGACTTGATTTAAAAACACCAAAAATCTAAAATATTCCAAACTTTTTTGTTTTTACCTTTAGAGTGCGTTATGTTTTTTGCCAAAGTGGTAAAATATTAATTTTGGTCTCTAAATAATGAATTAATTTGTGCCACATTCAGTAAGTCAACCTACCAATTAAACCAAAAAATGACACGCTTCATCTTTAATGAGAGCATAAAATGAAGTATGTTTAATAAGTATAATTTTAATTCAGTATAAAACAAGCAGCAACAGCTATGTCTACACAATCTCTATGTGCTGTATAATAGTGCATTTTTACAGTGTGATCCTTTGGTAAATGACATTTTAAAGACAAATTATATTTGCACTTTTGATTCAAATCAAAGTTTCGTACTGAATTATGTGTCTCAGAGAAACCTTCAACAGCACAAACAGGCCAGGAGACAGAAGTGATTGATTGATTGATTGTAGAAATGCATGAAGGCTTGTTTGGTCTTTGTGAGTCAGAAGTTGGAGAGTATGAGAGAGCGTGTTTGAGGCCGGCGGCACGTTCAGCCTGAAGAAATCTCCAGTGATGCTCCGTTTGGCTTTACATCCTCAAACTCTCGCTGCTCACTGGATATGTGGATTTCTACTGTACTAGACTCTGAATCTATGAGATGAGATAGAGAAGACTAGTTAATTTCATCCCTGATGTTGCATTTTTAATGCTGTTTATATATTATGTGTGTATATATATATATATATATATATATATATATATATTTAGAAATTAAGGTTTATACACCACCTAAAAGCAGAATAAATAAGCTTTCCATTGATGTATGGTTTGTTAGAATCTGACAATATTTTGCTGAGATGCAACTATTTGAAAATCTGGAATCTGAGGGTGCAAAAAAATCTAAATATTGAGAAAATCATCTTTAAAGTTGTCCAAATGAAGTTCTTAGCAATGCATATTACTAATCAAAAATTAAGTTTTGATATATTTACGGTAGGAGATTTACAAAATGTCTTCATGGAACATGATCTTTACTTTATATCCTAATGATTTTTGGCATAAAAGAAAAATGTATAATTTTGATCCATACAATGTATTGTTAGCTATTGCTACAAATATACCCCAGCGACTTAACACTGCTTTTGTGTGCCAGGGTCACATATATATATTATATATACATGTATATAAAATACAGTGGCTCTTAACTGGTTGTGCTTTATTACATCGACTAAAAAGGAGAATCTAATGCATGAACAACATCAGATGTGGTTTACCACTCAAACCCAGAGAAAAAATAATAATGCTGGTTGGTTTGGTATTTTGTCAAATTACACAGCTGAGACCAATTGTTATTGAGTATGTATATATCTTATTTTCCAATTAAAAATCTCCAAATTGCATTTACTTGAGCAGCATCACTCTATTAGATATCAAGACTTTTCATAATTGTGTCTTGAATATTGAGTGTATTTTGGCAGATGTTTTTACATGCAAGTATAAACACATTTATAACAAGTGACAAACTACACTTGTATACAAGATACAGTCCATAAAAGCAATTCATAATATCTTATAAAAGTGTTTCTTGTCAAGTAAGTTTATCATTTTAATGAAATTTGGATATTTTAAATGGGGAGTGTATTTTGGCAGATGTTTTTACATGCAAGTATAAACACATTTATAACAAGTGACAAAATACACTTGTATACAAGATACAGTCCATAAAAGCAATTCATAATATCCTTTAAAGTGTTTCTTGTCAAGTAAGTTTATCATTTTAATGAAATTTGGATATTTTAAATGGAGAAAATAATTAATTTGCAACAACAAAGGATAATATGGGATGTATTTCTCCTCCTGTGGTAAGTCGATTTATTTTGCTATCCTGTGTATGTTTATATGGTTAATAGTGTTTATTATTTGCATTTAATTTTGTTTCTTCCTGTAGAACAGATCCAAGATTCACCGGCTGAATCATATGAAATATAGATTATCAGAGCAGTATATATTATACATATGTACATTTATTATTTAGTGTTTACACTAGTGGTCGAAAGTCTGGAATATTTTTAAGATAAATATTTGTAATATATTTATATATGTAAGATATATTTAAGATTTTTTTAGTGCATTTGAAAGATGTCTCTTTTGCTCACCAAGGTTGCATTTATTTCATCAAAAATACAGTTGAATTTGTGAAATATTATAAATAATAATAATATGTATATTATTATTATTAGCCTAAATAAGCTGATGAAATACACAATTACTGTAACTGAATGTACGCTGGCTAACTTGCCTTACAAAAAATAACCGTAGCCTATGGTTTTACTATTAAAATGTATTAATACATTCATTATATAAAAAATAAATAGAAACAAAAAATGGTTACTTTAGTTAAACCATGGTAACCATGCACAAATGAGCCATTGATTTATTACACTAACCATGGTATTTGTACAACTGTGGTTTTACAAATGGTAATCAATAAAAAACTGTTAATTTTCGTTTTGAGGGGGAATTTTAATGTGGTCTGTGCTACTTGCGTGTTTGTTTGTTTGTGTTGTGAGCATTTGCAGCACATGTGCTGTCAAACTGATGAATATGTTTTCTTAATTTGCTGGTGCTTTTTCTATTTGCATGTGTTTTTTGACGTTGCAGTGCGTTGAGCTCTCTCGGCCACCGTAGTTTTCTATATGTGAATATATAGTAAAATTTAATTTTTTGCATTGATTAAAGCTGTATTTTCAGCATCATTGCTCCAGTCTTCAGTGTCACATGATCTTCAGAAATCATTCTAATATGCTGCGACCATTCAAAAATTTGGGGTAAAAAAAAAAAATCATACTTTTATTCATCAAGGTTGCACTGAACTGATCAAAAGTAAAGACAAAGACATTTATAATGTAACAAAACAAAGATTTCTATCTAAAAAAAAAAAATGTTCTATTGAACTTTTTATTAATCCGTAGATCCTGAAAAATAAAACGCATCACGGATTCAGCAAAAATATTGTGCAGCACAACTGTTTTCAACATTGATAATAATCAGAAATGTTTCTTGAGCAGCAAATCTGCATATTAGATTTATTTCTGAAGATCATGTGACACTGAAGACTGGAGTAATGCTGCTGAAAATGTAGCGCTGCATCACAGAAAATAAAAAATAAATAAAATATAGATGCAAGTAGAAATTAAGGGGCCAAGCACTACAGAAGCAAGCAAGGCAGCAAGCATTAGATTAAGTGCAACAATAAGTAATTAAAGACATTTGATTTTGAAGATGATTTTTGTCAAAATTAAAAATCATAACTACAATCACTAGTAATATGAAATAAGGGTTCAAAGAAAAACAAAACTGCAGACAGGAAGTTCGGCCAGTTATGGCATAATTGGTATTGATATTCTTGGCATGACCATACGCCAATGTGTTTATAAAATATGGTATTTTACAACAAAATTCAAAATAGCTGATGCCCAAAATGGCTGGCATGAGAAAATTAGATACCGTTCGACTCTGTATAATGCTTAAAATTTAAAGAGACCAGTTTAGTCAACCCGTTCAGAAGTTATAAGCAAAAATAGCCATTTTCATATCTCCTGACAGCTAGGTGGTGCTGTGCCGAAACTGTGCAGGTGCCCTCAGGTCATGGTTGTTATAACACGCACTAAGTTTGGTTTGAATATGCTAAAGCGTTGTGTAGATATACCCTCATGTCTATTTTTGGCGTGCTCTTCGCAGAATTCATTTGCGTGTTATTCGAAAATGGTTTGACTGATCTACTTGAATTCCATAACGTTTTGCCAGCATGTTCTGAAGATGATCTGAGCCAATTTTGGTGAAAATCAGACAAACGGTCTAAGATGAGTTTCATACAATTGAAAATGGCAAAAAATCTTGACCCATAGAAATTTACATTTAATTATGCAAATTTAAATTTCATGGCATAAGCCAAGGAATAAGGGGGAAAATAATTTCTAGAACTTACGGTTCAAAAGGTATTAGCATAAACATGAGCGCAACTCTGAACTGTTGGTGGCAGATGAGTTTCATACAATTGAAAATGGCAAAAAATCTTGACCCATAGAAATTTACATTTAATTATGCAAATTTAAATTTCATGGCATAAGCCAAGGAATAAGGGGGAAAATAATTTCTAGAACTTACGGTTGAAAAGGTATTAGCATAAACATGAGCGCAACTCTGAACTGTTGGTGGCGCTAGAGAGTTTGAGTTAGAGGCTCCAAATTTGGTGTGTTTAATGTTGATACTGTCCTCAATCAGTGTGCCAAATTTCATAACTTTTTACCATACGGTTCTATGGTATGACTCAATAGAGGAAGAAGACGAAAACTAATGGACGCAATGAATATATTAACATAGAAAACAGTTGTTTGAAATTGCAATAATATTTCACAATTTTATTTGTGATCAAATAAATGCAGCCTTGGGGATCAGAAGAGATTTTCAAAAACTTTGGTAGTTTATAGTCTTTATTTCTTACAGCTCAGGTCCCATTTGAACATGTATTTTATTTCATTAATTTACAGATGCAGCATTCAAAAGCCCAATTCAATGTTCCTGCTGCAGTCCGTTACCTTCAGACAGGGCACTGATGGCGTCTGAGGGCTGCTGCTGTCCATTGGCGCTCAGGTTCTTCTTGATCTCCTGCACGTGGCTTTGGTAGAGCAGCGCCGATCCGGCGACAGGCGTAAATCCACCCGCCAGCGATGTGGAGGCCGAATCCCAGGGCAGCTCGCGCCGTCTCTGCCGGCTGAAGTCCACGTTTAGCCCCGTCCAGCCGTGAAACGCCAGCGTGTTGAGAAACCCCTGCATGGGGTTCAGGATCCCCTGAGGACAGAGATGCTTTTAACGAATCGTGCTCAAGTGAGTTAACCCAAATGCAGTATTGGAGAGTAACTAGTTACATGTAGGCTAATGAAATTGCGTAATTTAATTACAAAATAAATGTAATCTGTTACATTAACTGAGAAAAAATGTGCAATTAAACTACAGTTATTTATGAAAACGTCAATAATTACAAAGGGGGTTACATCTGAATATTTTCACACACACAGATTGATTATTTTTTTCCAAATTGCATTGACTGCTCTAAAATATGAGACACCAATGTTTCAGGAGTTTAATAATAATAATAATATGCTTAATTTATATAGCGCCGTTACAAGGTACACCAATACAACAAATACTCATTACAAAGAAACAAATTAAGTGGACATTGGACATTTGCCCAATTTAGTAACAAAAGTAAGTAAAAGTAAAGAACAGTATTCTTTGTTTAGGACAAAGAATAGGACACATGCTTATTTAATAACCGTTTTATTTCCTATTTGGTTTTATGCATATGCTTTATTTTTGAAGATTAACTTTTTTTTGTTTTTTTCAAGCTGTTGTTAGATGCCAATTTTTCCTGCCATAGCTATATGCAAAGATTGGATTTCAAAAAAACGTATCACAGCTATTAAACTATATCTTGTTTTGGTTTTAAATATGTATAGTTCAGTCATGAAACTCTAGATGGCGTAGGCTGATGGGTGTTAACGTAACTGATGATTTTCACAGCGTTAAACGACTTGGCTCAAGCTGATTGGTTCATGTTGCATACGCAGCCAATGAGTTTGCTACTTTACATTTAAATGGCTGGTTAGCATTCATTTGAGCATTTGCAGCGTGCTTTCAGAGTTCTCTGAAACCCTCCACCTTCCCCAGCTCCATCTGTATACTGTAGATCTGCTACAGGTTATTTTATTTTATATTTGTGCAGCAGCAGCATGTCTTAAATACTCACAGCACCGTATCGCTGTATGCATTGGCAGTAGCAAGCTCCCGTACTTGCTTGCGGCAGCAGCAATAATCTACAACTACAGCAATTCAGCAGCAGCTGCAGCGTAGCAGATCTATTCCACCAAGACCAAATACATTAACATTGTCATATCCATCACCATGCTAAAATCTTCCAAGAGTTGTCATGATTGAACTGTATTTAACCTCAGAATGATCTCAAAGTGAGTCTAATTTTGTGGTGGCTGTGCTTTAATTATTATAATCTTAATTCAAGTGATGAAGGATTTCGAAAGTGACAGTAATCAGTGTTAAATACTACTGTGTTTAACATTAGAAATTTAGAAAAGTAATCAAACGTAATCAGTTACATTACTTTAATAAAGTAATTGAAATAGTTACACTACTTATTACATTTTAGATGTAATCTGTAACCTATTACATTTCCAAAGTAACCTTCCCAACACAACATCATTACATGCGCACATTTCACCAAAGTTTCTATTTACAACGTAATTTTGCAGCGTTGAGCAATGTGGCCAATCACAGACATATCAGTTGAACGCAATGGCCAATCAGAGGCGTTTAAGTTCGACAGAATTCACTCACCGCTGAAAAACTGAGTTTGTTTGTTTTTTCCTCAGTGCAGTTCTGTGAATCATCTCACAACTAAGTGCAGATGCGATGTAAATAAGAGATTCACTGACTATAGCGAACTCTTGTGAGATCGATCGCGATGAACTAAGATGAGTGATGGCTTTTTAGTGATTATTAAGGGAGCGCTCTTGGGGCTTTACAATCCATTCCATGGGTGTAGGTTTGATTTTGGCATTGGTGAGGACATAACGGCAATTTTGATCAAAATTATTGCTAGGGATAATTTAGTAGTGTCTGATATTGGTAGGATCATGTCATAGCGTCTTGACTACGTCCAAAATTACAACAACAGTGGTTACATACACATATATTTCATTGTTTGATCAAAATTATTGCTAGGGACAATTTAGTAGTCATTGGATATTGAAAGGGACATGTCATAGCCTCTCTACTAAATTCTACACTGCAAAAAATTATTTTCTTACTTAGTATTTTTATCTTGTTTTCTAGTATAAATATCTAAATATTCTTGAATCAAGATATATATATATACACCTTGCTACGTGTACTGCGTTAAGCTAACTGAGACTTGTCATTTGCACTTACATATTGTTGCTATTTTGTTAGTTTTGACTGCTTTTATTGTCCTCATTTGTAAGTCGCTTTGGATAAAAGCGTCTACTAAATGTAAATGTAAATGTAAGATGCATTTATTTTACAAGTAAAATGACTTAAGATATTACGTCTTGTTTTCTGAAAAAATTATCAAAATTTTGTTAGTTTTTGCTTAAAACGTGCAAAAATATCTGCCAATGGGGCAAGAAAAATAATCTTATTTAGCCTTTGAATTAAGATTACTTTTCTTACCCCATTGGCAGAGAGTAAGAAAATAATTTTTTTGCAGTGTACACCCTTGATCCATTCAAAATTTGCATTAAACTTTAGTTTTTCGGACACATACACTCTCGAAATAGCATAATAAATAATAGTGACAACCATAGCAATGGATGGGACAAAAATAATAGTGAAAATAGATGTGCATTAAGGCTAGAGCACTAGAGGGTTGCATTGGGATTGAAAAATATAACCCGGGTCCCGCTGTCATGCGATTTGGTGCATAACAGAAATACTCACCATTATGAACCACGTGATGAGCGCGGCGTTACGGACGTTCTTCAGATCGCCGGCTTTAACGTCGTCCTGCATCTCCAGATAAAACAATAGACTCTCGTTGATGATGTTGGGCAGCCAGCTGACGTGATGAAGAGCACAGAAAACTGATTTTCACTGATTATGTGTTCATTATTGATTGAACTGTTTGTTTAAGGGAACCTTCAGATTATAAAACCGTCACGGCTGTTTAAAGAGGAGGATATGAATCTCTTCTCGTGAAGAGTTTCTTACCAAATGACGAAGACCAGCATGATCTTAAAGAAGCGTATTTTGATCTCAGATCCGAGTCGTCTCTCGTTCTCGGTGTAGATTCCCTGTTGACCCTTCAGCAGCGACGTCACTGCATTAAAACACAGACAGACATGAGATTATCTGGGATGAATCACATCCAGAGTCATGTATGAACTCAATTAGTGTAGGATTTACGTTAAAACAATTTTTACTCAGAAATTGCCAGTAAAATTAGCTGAAAGATTTGGAGAAATGTAGCATTGCATCAGTGTCTCAGCAATGGATGCTCTGCAGTGAATGGGTGCCGTCAGAATGAGAGTCCAAACAGCTGATAAAAACACCACAATAATCCACAGCACTCCAGTCCATCAGTTAACATCTGGAGAAGACAAAAGCTGAAACAAATCCAGCATTAAGATATTTTTAACAAAAATAGGAGTCCATAATCCATAATAACACTTCCTCCAGTGAAAAA